CAACATTTTAAATTAGTTAAGTTCAGTGTTCCCTAATTTTTATCTTCCATAATGTTTCTGTTGAAGGAGTCTTGAAATATAAAAACACATTTGGCATACTTATTGGGATTTTGTTTTCCCCTAGGCCTGTGTGGCTCCCCAGTGCCAGTATCCCTTGCTTTACTGAATAGATGTTAAGCAAGTTGGCTTTGAAACAAGTTCTCTGATGTAGATTGTGTGTTCTGATTGATTGCCATTACAAAATTGGAAATGCATTTCCATGGAAAAGTTCTCAATCCCAGTAAGTTTAGTTGGAAACTTAATGACAAAATGATAAAATGATAGAAAATGCTAAACTACCAGGCTGGAGTGGTGGCTCAGTGGTTAGGAGCGCTTGCTGTCCTGGCAGAAAGCCTGGTTCATTGCTCAGAACCCACAGGGTGGCTCTCAATTGTCTGCACCTCCACTTCCAGGGGATACAGTACCCTCTCTGCCTTATGGGATCTTGCATGCAGGTGGTGTCCGTAAATTCACACAATCACTGACATGTACAAATAAAAAAAATGATTTTTAAAAGAAACTGTTGAAATATGCTAAGTACCTTAGTATACTGGTGGCTTTACATTTGCTAAGGATTGCAGTTCTTTGTTTGTTTGTTTGTTTGTTTGTTTGTTTTGTTTTGTTTTTGTTTTTGTTGGTGGTCATGTTTTTTGAGACAGTTTCTCTCTGTAGCCCTGGATGTCCTGGAGCTCACTCTGTAGACCACACTGCCTCACCACTGCTCAACAAGAATTGTGATTCTTAAATTTTGTTTTAATCTCCTGTCCTCAAAGATTTTAGTCTCTTGAACACTTACTGTCATTTCCTGTCTCCAAGTTTTTATGACTGCTTCCTTCCATTGCTCCTACTTGGCCCACTTGGCTGATCATTAGAAATGTTTTCGTTCTTCGTGTTACAAATGTGAGGGTGTTCATTTTATATGCATGGACCATAATGCCACATCTGCCAGGAGGTACAGCCGTCCAACACATTTCAAACTTCTTAAAGTTAGGCACTGTATAGTAACACAGTATTCTTGGTGTAGGTTTTAAATTCTGGATTTTTAGTTATTATACAATGAGAAATGCCTAGGAAAAGTTTGAGAATATAGGTTTGTTTTGGTTTTGGTTTTGGTTTTTTAAGGCAGGGTTTCTCTGTAGCTTTGGAGTCTGTCCTGGAACTCACTCTGTAGACCAGGTTGGCGTCGAACTCACAGAGATCTGCCTGTCTCTGCCACCTGAGTGCTAGGATTAAAGGCATGTGCCACCACCGACCGGTGAAAATATAGTTTGATCTTAAGTCATATTCCAACCTGTAGAGTTTCTGCTCGAAATTGAAACACTTGGCTGAAGTATTCATTTTTTTCATGTAGTTTTTTTTAACTAGATATAATTATCATCACTTTACAGAACTAAAATTTCACAAAATCACCCTACTCTAAACCAATACAGTTTGTTTTCTTTTCTGTCACATTGCCTATCTGTAGAGATGGGGTTTAGGCATGATCCGTTTCAAAGTATCCTAACAAAACCAACTTGGTGACTTTCATCCCCATGTTAATTATTTACCAAGGGAATTTTATTTCTCCAACAACAGATTGAAGCAGTGGTCCTAGCTGGCCAGCAGTGACAAGAAAATGAAACTGGGTTCAGATGTTTATATAATCCATCCCAAAAAAGGAAGCCTACTCAGAACCCAGAGTGTGGCATAGAGATCACTATAATCTTATATGTGAGGCCATTCTTACTGTAGTGAATACTCCTTGGGCACCCTCACAAACTTCTTAAGATAATTACAAACTTCTCGTTTTATTTTGGAATCCTTTGTGTGGATGTACTGAAAAAAAATTGACAATTAGATGGATTCATTGATCTGAATTGGAAAGACTTCAATAATTTATTGGATGTGGAAATATAAATCATTTACTTGTCTGGTGTGTTGAAAATTTATGGTAGAAGTAGGAAGTAGAAGTCTACAGTGTCTCATAAAATGAGGGTGAGGACTTCAGAACTGAGCACTCAGACCCTTCAGATAGACGTCATGGGCTGGCATTCTACTTTCTTCCCATCTCCTCCCCATTACTTTTCTTGCCGATCCTACTAGTGCCCCATTTTTTTGTTATTCAACCTTTCATCAGGCCCTTCTCCCCTGTAGCCATCCTCGTTTAACTATTCCTAAAACTCTTCACATAGAACTTAGAACATGCATCTGTTTTCCAGCATTTGATCCAAATACTCGATCAAGAGCAGTCATTACAGTAAGAATAGATAAGGACTACCCGACATAGAAGATTACAAGGAAAAGGGGCTGTCCTCTCAGCACAGGCCAGTAGTAGCCACAGCAGCTTATGCAGATGGGGGTGCTACTGTGTGTGTCAGGACTGTCCTGAATACTCTGTATTAATTTACCACTTCCGTCAGTCCTTTCACAGAGTCCAAGAATATTAGGTCCTACATACATCCTCATCCTATAGTTTTTTTAAGAAGTCAGGTTTTAAAGGTTAATCAACTTCCTTATTACAATCACTTTGTAGTTGGCTGAATCCCACAAGTCTTGAGCTTCAGAACCTCTGCCCCAACCAGCCCTCTAGACTCCTACCTGATTAGTGATATTATATTGTTTTAGATTTATTTATGTGTAGGGATGTTTTGCTTGCATGTATATTTGTGCATCCCATGCATGTCTGGTGCCCTCAGAGGTCAGAAGAGTGGCTGAGATCCCCCACAACCGGAGTTAGGTGGATTTTAGCTACCATGTGTCCTGGGAACCAAAACCAGGTCCTCTGCAAAGAACAACAAGTGCTCTTAACCACTGAGCCATCTCTCCAGCCTCACATATTATTATTATTCATTACATTATTCTTTGTATTCTTATATAGGTGAGGAATAGAGACTGTCAAAGAATAATTTAAAGTTATAGAATTAATTCATTAAATAAAAATGTTTTTGAGTGATTATCTGCAAAGCTAATAAGTAGTGAATTCTCAATCAAAACCTCATGTGTTACATTGTGCATTATTTCTGTTTCCTCCTGGTTGAAATTACCTTAAAAAATATGTAGTCAGCAAATGTTGTCATTGTTGTTTTCTTATTGACGGAAGAGTATGTTTCCTGAACCTGTGTACTGTCTTGCTCCACCAATCCGGCTCTTGCATGTTTGTGACTAAATTACAAGATAGAAAACTTGGATAGAAACAGGATTTAGGCTGTTGCTGCAAATATTGCCTCCTCTGATTTAAAACCAGATATTAATATTTCAGGGAGTTGCTTTGAAGATAAAAGTTTTCATCAATTAGGCCAGTATATGAAAGCAATTGAAAATGGGACAAAGGAACTTCTTAACTATGTGAGAAGAGCTAGCTAGAAATGTAGCTGAGTTCATATAGTACTTGCCTAGCATGATAAAGTCCTAGACTTGATCCTGGCACCACATAACACCAGCCATGATAGTATATATCTATAATCCCAGCATGCTAGAAGTGGAGGCAGAAAGATCTGTTCATGTCTACTACATAGCAAGTTCAAGACCAGCTTTGGCCACATGAAACTCCATCTAAAAATAAAAAGAGCATACTCGACACAGTAGAAAACTATGAATGTCACTGACAATTTTCATTCCTGGATTATTTTTTTCATTCCTTACCATGTTACAGATTCCTTCCCATCCAGAAAGGATAAAGAATTAACCATCTCTTAGAAGGTCAGAAGTTACAGAGGCTGGTTTTGGTTTTGGTTTCCAGACAGGGTTTCTCTGTGTAGGTTTGAAGCCTGTCCTGGAACTACTTTGTAGATCAGGCTGGCCTCAAACTCACAGAGATTCACCTAACTCTGCCTCTGCTTCCCGAGTGCTGGGATTAAAGGTGTGCAAGACCACACCCAGCAAAGTTATTTCTTTATTTCTGTTTTTATGTACATTGGTGTTTTACCTGCATGTATGTCTGTGTGAGGGTGTTGGACCCTGGAGTTCCAGACAGTATGAACTGCCATGTGGGTGCTGGGGATTAAACCCAGATCCTCTGAAAGAGCAGTCCGTGAGTGCTTTTAACCACTGAGCCATCTCTCCAGCCCATCAGCAGTTTCTTTTTTGTTTGTTTGTTTGTTTGTTTGTTTTGTTGTTTGTTTGTTTTGGTTTTTCTGAGACAGAGTTTCTCTGTGTAGCTTTTGGAGCCTTTCCTGGAACTCACTCTGTAGCCCAGGCTGGCCTCGAACTCAGAGATCCGCCTGCCTCTGCCTCCCAAGTGCTGGGATTAAAGGCGTGTGCCACCACTGCCCGGCCATCAGCAGTTTCTTGAGGCTGTTTTTTAATATAGGAAATGGAACATGGTTTCAGAAAGAGACTCCAGAAAGAAAAGCAGAAATAGAATCATGTAAATAAAACAAAAATGCTAAAAGTAGAGATTGCTTCTAAGTAATTATCTTACACCCACTACAACTACAAGTAGACATGCTTTTATAGAGGGTTGGATAGATGTGTGTATACAAGAATTGGACTAAGTGCAGAAAACTCACCATGATTTACTTTCTTCTACATGACTACACAACTGAGTTTGTTGGTTTAAATGTGGTTTTGGCCATCAATTGATGACTTGGCTACTGACATTATTAGCTCCACGTGTTTGCCTAGTATAACTAAGTGCCTCCTGGAAACTGACAGTATTAAATGATTCTCTAAATAGTTCTGCCGTCATCATTTATTTGTTCCTTTTTTGGAGCTAGCCTTAAATAATTGGCTTTTGAATTCTTTTTTAATTATTATACTGCAGCAAACCCATTGTAATTCACATAGCCACATTCAGAGTTTGAAAATGACTTCACCATGCCACTAAAGTTTCAGAATGAAAATCAGTGTCACAAGAATATTTTAAGTGACAGCAACAAAGATTCTGAGCCATTTTCTTCCTGTACCTGAAATTAGGAAGGCTTAGTGCTCTTCTCTTGTCTCTTGACATTAGGTGGCAGGTCCATAAACTCTGTGCTTTTTAGGTTGTACGCCCGAAGAATGATGTTTCCAGAGTTCCAGAGAAGGCTTGGAAAATAGTTAAGGTGAGTTGAGCACCTGGTTACGGTGATGGTATCACCGGTCTTCATGCTTGTCTCACTGCAGTCACTGAGATGGACATGTGCACACAGGGATAAGGGCGTGGGTGTGTTGCCTTGACTTCCCTTCTTACATACTATGTATGTAGTCCTAGGGTATGAGGCATAGAGCCAAGTGTTGTTCAGTAGTCAGCTAATTAGTAGGACTAACTAAAGACTAGCTAATGTGAAAGCAGTCTAGTTTCTTGATTATAACATTTTTGATCCCTGAGAGGGTAAGTTTTACTTACTATATTAAATGGTATCTGTTACTGGACAGTAACTAGCACACACCTGTGCCAGAATGTGTTTCTGGCTGACACCTTTAAGAAGCATGCAGAGTAAACAAAATTCTCAGCTTCCTAGTTCCTCACCTCTGCCTTTATCCTTCCACAAACTTTATACAGCAACTTTTTTGTTTTAAACCCTAATCATACCATCCTGTGCACTTGCTTCAAGGCTTTGTTATAACACAAAATTATAAATAAACCCTTAAATATTTGTTCATAATGCTTCCTTCAGTCTATGGTCTCAAACTTTCCAGGCAAGCCTTCTTCCTTTGCCATAACCTTGTTTGCATCTTTTTTCAGTGGGTTTGGAAAAATAATACCTAGGATTTTAGCGTGGTTTTATCCACAGAAGACTGGTGTAACAGAAGCTTGGCTCCAGACATGGAGTGAGTTGGCAGCCAGCAAGAGCAAAGCTGTGTCAGGACAAATGTCCACTCTTCATCTTCTCTCGTTGGCTTTCAGCTGGTTGCACCACAGGAGTCTCTATGAGCCGTGTATCCTGTGACCAATAACTGGTGCACTCGACCCGGGTCCCTCTTGGCTAGGGACAGCCTGTCGGGAGGCATTAGGTTCATGCTGGTGAAGATCCTTAGTCAGTGGCTCCCTGAAGGAAAGTGAGGCAAATAGCCAGATTCTGTTGAACAGGTGGTAGTTAGACCTTAGCTCTGCTTGTGGGGGTGGGAAGGAAAGAGTCTCCAAAATTACCAGTCTTGCTGGTTTTCACACTACCAGTGTACTTCTCTGTCCAATAAACGGTTGTTTAGAAACGTGTCCAGAATTATCTCTGGCAGCATCTGGAGTTCTCTAACTTTTCTACCTTCCTTTAGCAGTCTGGATTTGGGCCCATGTCAGGAATGGAAACCCCACTGGGATGCAAGCAAAAGAGGAAACATGTTCTTAGCCATGCATCAGTGGAGGCCCCTACTGGGAGAGGGGATTATCACAAGCAGCAGGCAGCCCTGCACCCCAGCCTGCTGAGCTCCTGCTCTGCCACAGGATGTGGAGCAAAGGAAATGGGAGGCCAGAGTGGTTGCTCCAAGTTTCTTTACACAATAGGTTATTCAAGCAGATTGGGAATGCTTCTTAAGAGATTTGTTAGGTCTGTGTCCCCTTAACAAGATGGCCACCACAGATGGTGAGTTCAGATACTGTTTTTACAGTACAAATTGAAGATTCATATTATACTTCCATACTGGCTTGTCTTTGACTGAGATTCTGCCGACTAGGGCAAGCATATTGCTCAGCCATTTCCGCTTAGTTTCCAACTTAAATTAAATTCTGCCAAAGGATTTTTTTTTTTGTCTTAATTTCATTCCTATGTTTAGTAATTTTTTTTTACTTTAAATGCTGTGGAAAGGTTGGCTAAGATTAATACAGATCTATTCAACATCACAAAGCTTGCATATTTAATATGCAGCAATGACGTTTGTACCAATAATTCTCTTGCTATAATGTTAACTTTATTACAGTGTTCCTGTTTTATTGTGCTTCAAATGTCAATGAAAGAACTCGATGTCCTTCCTTCCAAATGGTTCAGTTAAGTAATGAGATGTTGCATTGGTTCATTCTTCTCCACCTCAGCGTGCTACCAACACCTTCCATTTTTAACAGGATCCTCATATAGACAGCACTGAACTGACCACAAGACAAAAATAATGAAAATTGCTTGCTTACTCATACATAATGCACAGTTGCATGTCCAAGTCCCAAATTCTTTCCTGAGTAACATTAGCGCCTTTGTCGTAAGGCAACTGTCCTGTGTGGGGCACTGTCTCCATGTGGGTGTTTTTTGAGCCAGGTTTTTTAAAGTTACAAGTCAAAGCCTTAACTGACAAGTCACTACAGTAAATTAAGATAGTGCTTTAAAATTCAATTGGAGATGAGTTATGTTACCAATTTTATATTCTTTGATGTAAGTTTGTGAGAATAAGGTGATTTGAAGAAGGTCTGTTACCTATGGCAGAAGTCTTTGCTGTTGATTTCCACTGCACTGCCAGTTTTATGCATTGAGCTTGTGCACAGTGTGCTAAAGCCTTTGAGAAGTTATAACATCTTAAACATCTATAGAGAGCCTACGGGTATTAACTTGCTGTAATTTTCTGAAAATTCATTATCCAGAAATCTTAATTCATTATAACAGCTCTTATGAAAACCTACAGAACTGGGTTTCTCTTATTCTCATATTTGAACACAATGAGAGAGTCGGTGTTTCTAATTTGTTTCATGTGGTGCTTCTGAGTACATCTCACAGAGGGCTGTTAGTGAATCTCTGTGACTGTCATTATATCCATCAACCTCTAGGAACTAACATTCTGGGTTTCCCAGTTCTGTAATCTACTTCAGATGTAAGAATTGACATAATTAGCTTCTCACAAGTTATAACCAGAATGCAGCAGATACCTAATGCCAAGTATCGGCTTGGGGGTGGGGGGCAGTTTAAAAATTAGCACAGGATTTACTTTCATTCTTTATTAAATTTAGAGCCAAATATTTTGTTGCTATTTTTATGTTAATTCCCTTCCCTGTTTGTCTTATTTGACTCCTTTTAAAAACTGTACATAAGAACATTGAGGAAATGAGAAAAATGGAAAGATAATTGAAGCTGTCTACCTATAAATGCACAGGCAACATCTGTCATTAGATGAGTTCAGAAGATGGAGAGTACATTGTGCCACTGACATTGTCTATTCACATGCAAACTCTCTTTCCTGAAATTGAAAAGAACCTTCTTCATAGTAAAATAACAAGGATTTATTAAGATGATTATTTTAGAAACATGTATTCTCAAGCTGTAATGACAATTTCTGATATTTAGTGAAATTCCATATATTTTGTGAGCTGTTGTAATGTGTCAGAGATAAAATGGTACCTTGTAGCTTCTAAGGCAGCAGCTGTTTAGAAGCAGAGGGAGTTGGTGTGCAGGAGGCTGTGCCCGTAGAGGTGGTACAGGCAGCAGGTTCAGTTCCCAGTGCCACAAAAAGAAAGGAAAGGAAGAAGAAAGAATTGATGGTTCTGGGTAACTCAAATGTTAGATGGTCTTTAAATACAAAACCCGGGACTAGATGTTGGGGTAAGTGCTGAATGACCGGAGAGACAAGCTACAGCCACCACCTCTTACCATACCAACTCCTCAGCCTGAAAGAGCCCCAGCCGAAAGGACTTCAGCCAAAAAAGCCTGTAGTTCCTGTTTCCTCACACCTTGTATACCTTTCTCCACCCAGCCTTCGCTCCTGGGATTAAAGGGATGTGTGCTTGCCAGTACTGGGATTAAAGGTGTGTACCACCACTGCCTGGCTCTGTTTTCTCCTAGACTGAGTCAATCTCATGTAGTCCAGGGTGGCTTTGAACTCAGAGAGATCCAGACAGATCTCTGCCTCCCGAGTGCTAGGATTAAAGGTGTGTGCCTCCACTGCCTGGCATGTATGTTTAATCTAGTGGCTTATTCTGTTCTCTGATCTTCAGGCAAATTTTATTAGGGTACACAATATGTCACCACAGTTCTATGTCATGAAATATTGACATAGTTGTTTTACCCCCTTAACAAAGGCAATTTCTGTGACTAGAATGTGTTAATTGGTTCAACGCATACATAAAGATTTCAGAATTACTAATGAAAATTTCAAAGGTTTATGGTCTTGATGGTTATCTTTATGCTGTTAAAATCTCCATGAAGAATTTGGATCCCCAAAACTCACATAAAAGCAGGCAGGCAGGATAATTCCAGTGCTCCAGAGCAGGAAATAGACAATCCCCAGGACAAGCTGGCTAGCAAAAATGGGCACACTCCAGGTTCAGCAAGAGACCCTTTCTCAATAAATGAAGTAGAGTATGATCAAGGAAGACAGTGATGTCACTTTCCAGTCTCTGCACAATCTTAGTTATGCAATTACATGCATGCGTGCGCATGCACAGACGCACACGCACACATGCATGCGCGCGTGAGTCTCCAAAAGAAATACATCTTCCCTTTCTGTTACTTTTGATGTGTAAGGCCTTCTTTTGCAAAGAGTATTATTAGCTGAGCATTCCAGAATCTGCTAAGCAGAAAGGCCTATGAAAAGGGATAGTGGGAAGTAGCATTTATAAAGTAACAGCCAAGTGCCAAGGTGTTTGATAGAGGATTATCATTCAGTCATCCCTAAAACCTATTAAATAATGTTTGTTATGAATTACTCTTGATTATTATTTTTGTTTTACCAATAAGGAACCAAGATTCAAAGGATTTGAGGAACACCTAGTTAGTGGCTGAGTTAAGAATTCAGATCTAGGGCTAGAGGGATGGCTCGGTGGTTAGGAGCACTGGCTGCTCTTCCAGAGGACCTGGGTTCAGTTCCTGACACCCACAAGGCAGCTCACAGCTGTCTATGGCTCCAGTTCTGAGGGAGAGGGGCAGTCCAACACCCTCACACTGACAAATGTGCACATGAAATAAAAATAAAGTATTTTTTAAAGTGCCTCATCGAAGAAGAAGAAGAAGAAAAAGAAGAAGGAGGAGGAGGAGGAGGAGGAGGAGAATTCAGATCCAAATGTCTTTGGAACCAAAGCCTATTCTTTCTTTTGCTAAGTTCAAGACCATGTTCCAAGAACTGCTGTGCTATTGGTTTCTTTTTACTCTTTACTCTTTTGGGGGGCCCACCACCCAACTCCCAAATAGATACACAGAGGCTTATTCTTATTTGTAAATGCCCAGCCTTAGCTTGACTTGTTTCTTGCCAGCTTTGCTTAACCTAAATTATCCCATCTACCTTTTGCCTCTGGGCTTTTTCCTTTTCTTACTTCTGTATATCTTACTTTCACTCTTACTCCATGGCTGGCTGAGTGACTGGCCCCTTCTTTTCTTATTCCTTGGATCTCTCTTGCTTTTCTTCTTCTATTTATTCTCTCTGCCTACCAGGCCTTCCTATCCTTTCTCTTGCCTTGTCTTTGGCCATTCATCTCCTTATTGGACCAATCAGGTGTTTTAGATAGGCAAAATATCACAGCTTCACAGAGTTAAACAAATGCAACATAAGAGAATACAACACATCTTTGCACCATTAAAACAAATGTTCCATAGCATAAACAAATGTAACACATCTTAAAATAAAATTCTACAACACTGCTGAACAGACATTTCCCCTCCCCTCAAAGAGCACAAGCTTAAATAGTGGGTGAAACTTTTATTCACATGAAAAGCTGACACTACTAGATCATACTTAGTATATGATATTATAAGTATCTATAATAGACTTGAAACATTGGATGCTCCCAAATTTCCAAAGAAGAAAGTTCTTCTTACCTAATCATGGAGAAAGCTTTCTCCAGGAAATAGTTTTGCTGTTTACAACACAGCAAAAGTTTGCCAGTTCCCACATGCTTAGTGAATGGGGTTTTAAATACAAGATCCTGTTTCAAAAAAATAAAGTAGAATTGGCAAAACTATACATTTGACCATTAAAAAGCATGAGTAAAGTGGTGGGCATAGTGGACATAAAAGATAGTGTTAGCTCTGTTCTCAAGTGGAAAACAGGAGGGCTGAAGCAGGCAAATACTTGTTTTCAGTGTATATGTCCCTGATGGCGTAAAACACAAAACCAAAGGCATGACTGTGTGTTCATTGTCATTGTATTATCCAGCCTTGGAAGAGCAACTGGTGACTTGGTCTTTCTCCTTTGGCAGCAGTGGTGGAGTTTTGAAGTAGACTTTCTATGTAATCCCAGTTAGCCTCCAACTCAGAATCTTTAAATCTATTTCTTGACAGCTGGGATTAGAGGCATTCACTACTTTGCCTGACCTTAATCTCTTTTTATTTGATATTTACATGTGTCTCATTAGAACCAAATTATCTTACTAGCTTCTGAAATCAAGGTAAGTCTTCTGTGTGCTGAAGGCAGCCTTTTTCTCTTCCAACTCCATTCTTCCTGAAAAGGAATTTTATGATGTGGTTCCTTCTTGCTATCATAAAATGTTTTGGTAAAATTAATTTTTAAAATTATTTTGAAATGATAAAAGTTGCAGAAAGTATTCAGAACTCTGAATATTATGTTAGAATTGTTTTCAGTAGAAATCTTTTATTGACTTGTGCTTTGTGATAAATAGCTTCGTAGAAATTCCCCAGTGGGCAAGTTATCTCTTACCTCTTAAATAGTCTGTATCTATCACATTATTAAATTCTAAATGTTAGAGGATATTTTTATATTATCTCCATGTTTTTCAAATGGCACGAGACCTTGAAAAATGTGAAAGTCTTTTAAAAGAAATGCTGTAATCATACATTGATTTTAAATGACCCTGTCACACGTGAAAACAAATCAGATTGTTGCTCTTAATGAGCTTTTCAATTTACTATTCAGTAGATCAGATAAGTGGATTTAAGAGGTAATGATCCCGCTTAGTACTCAAGCTTGACTGTCAGATCCTGGTAGTGGAGAGCAGTCCCTGAGGACAGAAGCGTTGACACAGCTCTAGACAGGATAATGGGGCTCAGAGCTAATGGATGCTAAAAGGAGGGGTACGAGTTCCAAGGAGGACTGTGGGTTAGAGCGCTGCCTGTGCCAGTGTGGACTGTTTGCTCCTGCCCCGTGATTGCTGCAGAGCTGAGGCTTTGAGAAACTGTTTTGACAGCAGAGCACAACAGAAGCAAACTCACAACAGGAAGACTCCTGGTGGGAACCTCGGTTTTCAAAGATACAGTTCAGTTACTAGGTTTTCACCATGGCATAGTGAAAATAAAAGTTAGGTTAGTTCTCAGTTTTGCCAAGAAGTAGCATTTATAAAGTCTTGGAATGTAAAATTTCCTTTTACAGAAGTACAGAGTAGTCATCTTATGTTCAAAACAAGAAAATTAACTAGGAGTTAATAGAAAGGAGGAGGATGTGATGAAAATACACCAAGAATGGGCTGCTTGAGATAACACCATATCCCTTCCAAAAACCCATGTGTCACTCAGCTACATCTTTCAGCAGTGTTCAGTGCATTTATGGCACATTTTCTTTCTTTGAAGGTGATTGTTATCTCAGGAGGGAAAATGAGTGCTTTGGCATGGAGTAGAGCTCATTTTAAATAGCTTCATTCATGTTTTCATCCTTGGTAAGCACTGGTGCCTTTAAGATTCCAGTCAGGGTGAAGAACACAGGTGCGCCCCTGCAAGAGTGGTGAGCAGAAAAGCACAGACAGCAGGGAACCGGGACCACTGTTGTCTGCTTTCACAAATTAGTCTCACATACAGGAGCGCACTAGACAATCACAGATTCAAGTAACAATCAGGCTACTCTCTAGAATACTTTTCTCTCTTCTTTTTTGCCCACAGAATTCAATACATCGTAAAAGGAAGGGGGCATATTTCATTGTTTGATTACTCACATTGTAATCCGGTCTCCATAGGTCCACCCATTGCTTTTTCTATTATATATTAAGTACACTTGTCTTAGTTGCTGAGACAAAGAATAAGGTATAATAAGGCATAATATCAGCCCTCAAGGATATTCCAGCATTGTGGGAGAGTTGGACAACTAAACATTATGATGTGAAAGGACCATGATCAAAGAACAGAGCAGATATGGGGGAATATACAGGAAAATGCAGCTCACCCTGCCTGGGAGGGCTAATAAGGCCTTTGGGAAGGTGGCTTTTGAATGATGAGATGGGGAAAGGCTGATGCTGAGCCAAAGAAATCCTATGGATTACTCAGATCTTCAGTGCTTAGGCTTGAGAGAAATGGTGGAAAATGGGGAGTACTAGGGGCCAGGGTATGAAAGAATTGAACACCAAAAGTCATTTATGTCAGATTTTTCCAAGAGGACTGATTTGAATCTTCCTGGCTGTGGTATGTAAATTCTACTTACTGCTCTTCCTTTGAGCCTTCTTTGTGGTTACAGGCTTCTGATTGAGACCATTGTGATAACTAAGATTTTTAGGCTCTCTTTCTCTCCTGCCACAAGTATCTTAGGGCCCTTAGTGATCATAGCAGCCTTTGCATCATCATTGGAATACTGTCCTGGGGACTCTGTAGTCAACAGAAGAGACAATGGAAAATTAAATAATTCTTTTTTCCCTCTCTGCCCCTCCCTCTCCTTCCCACCATTCTGTTCCTTTCCTACTCTCTCCCACCCTTTCCTTTTCTCCCTGTACACTTGTCAGTTACCCTGCTAGCCTGTGGAAGAGGCTTCCAGACTAGAACTCAGGTTGAAAATCTGTAACACAAGGTTCTGATTAGTATAATCCTCAAAACTCAAATACAATACTTCTGCACTCCTCTCCTGTGTGACCCCTTTAACTCTGAATGATTTGTCTTATTGTGACCTGTGGCAGTATATAAGCTAGTGTGTAAATAAAGCTAAGTTGCCATACTTAGTAAATAAACAGATTACAGAAGGTGAGACCACATAATCACTGGGGATACATGACAGAAGAGAGATCCCATGCAGCTGGTGTCTGGCAGGGACAACCTGGAATCCCATCAGAGCATAGTGGGTGTAGAGGTGTGAACTACTCTCAGCTTTGTCAGGCTACCAGGGAATGTTCCATTGGCTGCTGGTGGTATTTCCCCACTTGAAGTGGGGTTGTGTGTTCAAACGCACAGTGTGCCTGAGTTTGAGACAGAAATGTCATACCCAAACTCTGCAACCAGCTTTGCCCACTTAGAAGCTCTGTGGATTCTCATGTGCTGATGTTCAGTCCTGCGGTCAACAGTAAGACCTGTCTCTGTGTCTCTCTAAGCTAGAGAGTATTACAAGGGGGTGTTTATAGCTTATATACAGTCTCAAGGTTTTCTAAAAATACTTTTATAATCACCTTGCATTATCTTGAATTTTATTGATACTTTGCTGAAATCTAGAATAGGTAGAAAGTTTAGGTTCTTTTTGAACATTGTTTTTCAGTCTTTTGCATGCCTAGTCCCACCTTCAAGAAAAAAGGTGGCTCCCAACTTTGAGAACAAAGAATGTGGTATGATAGGTGAAGAATGAGTGTGGGTCTGTTTGTGTAAGTATATATACATCCCAAAGGAGAAGTGCTTCCTGTGTGGAAAGTTAATGTAGTCTAGGGTGGTAATGTTTTAATTTCATTAGCTCTGTGTTCGCTCCCTGTTTTCAGTGTGGGTGCAGCAGATCTTTAGACTTTTAATTTTAGACTTGTTAACTTGAGTAGTCTTTTGAAATTGCCTATGAATGATAAAGCTTTTAACACTTTTTTGCAGGTGTACGCCCGTATGTCGGAAGTCTTAGGAATAACAGATGACAACCATATTCTAGAAACATTCATGACAAAAATGTGAGTATCTGTTTTGGTTTTTAATTTTCTTCTGTTTTGAGTCACATATCATCTTACTGTATTTGAATCTCTTAATGATACTAATTTTTAAACAAAATTTTGGCATTAAATTTTAGTGTGTACATTGTTCTTCATTGAAGCTTACTTCAGATACTTAAAACTCACAATCTAAAGGTCATTATCATTTGTCAGGAAGTCCACGTGGTTATAGTATACAATATCAGATCACTGTCCTAAAAAGATTTACAGATATTGACTCTACAGTTCAGTTGGGCAGAATTTTGTTTTTAACTTACAACTAAAAACAAAACACCCTACCTCAAAGACCAATGACCAAAGACCAATTGCAAACTATAGTTACAATCACCTTAAAATAGAACATCCATTGGCTCCAGCAGAGATGTGTTTATAGAGCTGAATGGTTTGTCCTCACAAACACACCATTGCATGTTGAACCGACATTGGTGTGCTTCTGATTGCATACTGTGTGTCTCACAGATAACACTGTCTTGCTTGCAGGACAAAGCTAGGTCAACACCAGGACCATAAGTCAGTTTTGGAGCCGCCAGATGATGATTCATTTGGGGCAAGAACTGGTTCACCTTCATTTAACTTCCTTTGTGATAATAATTCCTCTTTTCATTCTGTTTAGCTTGATTCTAAATTTAATGTTTCTCCTCTGAAACACTTAACATTATAGGCTGACTAACTTAAAGAATTATTTACAGAACTATTTTAAACTTAAAGAATTCTATGCCAATGTTTACTGTAGATTGACCATATAAAAGTTTAAATGTGCTATTAAAATTTTTAAAAAATTCTGTTGAAATTTGAACATGCTTTTCATTTTGTCATTGAAGTCATCTAACTTACATAAAATATTTGTGTGTTTCTGTGGTTCTCCTTATGCAGGCAGCTATCTAACATTTTAAAACATTTTTTTCATATTTAGTGTTACAAACCTTAAGTATTGGGGAAGATGTGAGCCTGTAATTTCAAGGACTCTTCAGTTCCTAAATGACCTTTCAGTTGGATATCCTTTTCATTGTATATGTGATATACTAACCCAGCAGGTGCATTTACGTGGCCAAATATTTTTCCCTGCTTCTAATTTTCCAAAATTTTACAATAAAAAGTCTAATCTGTTAGCCTTATCTATAAATGTGTGATTATAATAACTGTGCTATGAAGCATTTTCAGTCGTAACTGAGCTTGTATGAATGTGTATATATATATATTCCTAACTGGCTAGTTTTGTTTATATTAATCTAGGCTAATAATGCTTGCATAATAAAGTATGCAGCACTCATGTATTTCAGCTCATAGTTGTTCATAATTTTCAGAAATTCTTTTTCTGAAAGAAAGCATGTAACTAGCTTGAAGAAGGTCAGCTGTTCCTGGGTCCCTCAGTAAGAGCCTCGTGAGCATCAGCCAGTATGGCTTGCACAAGTTGAGACACACAAAAGAGGAATAGAAAGAGGGTCGGTCACTGACTTTTAGCCACTCTTTGGTTGTTGGCCTCCTCACCAGGTCATAGTCACACCTACGCATGTTAAGAGTTCCTGTTACACATTAAATGGTTACATATTTGTCTCTAGAAATCTTTTAAAAATTGAAGCCAGAAATCATTTTTACTAGATATCTATAATATTTTATCAATGAGAGCTGGATTGTAGATTGTTGCTTATATGTTGTTAGCTGTAAGATACATAGATGTTGTGAAAAATAAATAAATGTTGGTTTAGTTAACCCATAAGATTAGCTGATATTTTAATATAAGAACAAATTCTGAAAATGTTTGGCTTTGGATGGAAACCTTTAATGCAGTTTCATTCCAAGAATACGCTTGTATTAGTTAAGTTTAAGATTGTGTTCCTCCGTAAACCATAAAAGATTTCCAAAGTATTAGACACCCACTTTTGTGCTGGAATTTAATATGCAACTTTTTATTGGAAAATAATCGTCCTTGTCTGGCAAAATCCACCATGCAATATTTCTGTTAGTAGGTATAATGCAATAAAGACAGGGAGGGCTATTTATCACTACAAATTTTGAGGATTTCAGGATTCTTTTTATTATTTTAATATATTTCTTTGATATTAAATCAGAAAAATGATAAATTACACCTGTCCAGGCTGTTTTTCCTCTTTACTGAAAAGTGATGTACAACCCAATTCCAGTGGTCATTTTGGCTTTTTAAGATATGTATTTTTTCTTATTAAAAAAACTCAACCTGTATTTTTTTCTAATAATGGTGCTGAAATACTCTTTATCTCTAACATATGAAGTGGTTGATAAGTACTTCATAGTATTGCAACCTCTCCAGCTTTTCACAGTGAATTACTGTGAAAGTGTGTTATCTGGAAGAAGGCCTCTGATTGTAGAACACAGACCTATTGTTTAGATTCACTCTGGTTTCAGTTTGAAATTGATATTTAATATAAAATTAATTTGATTTGTATTTTAGTATAATTTACATAATGCCTAATTTATTGGTATCTATTAAGATACTTTTTCTGTTATCTATTTTAAGTATAACTATTATAATCTTTTATTTTCTAAGCAGTTTATTCCTTTTGAATACCTCTTAAAATTAATTTTAAAAAGTCTTATTTTCAAAACATTTATTAGATAAAGGTTAAAGGTTATAACAGATATGAATTATTTCCATGAAGGTACATTGATTTATATTTTTTAACAATTATTTCAAGTTTGCATATTTAGAAATATATATTAGCTCAATTTGATTTCAGTGCTCAGTTATTTGAATTATAAATCATTATGTCCCTTCTAGCTGATCAGTCATGAAATATCTTTGAATTCATTTACATAATGGAATATGTGCTTGGTGTATCCATTTCAATGCAGTCTCTGGCTACCTAATGTGTGTTTTGTTGTTCTATCCAATTTCATTATTATATGTGTTTTTTAATCATGATCTCAAAATAATATCTTCTTTTGTTAAAAATACAATGGCATTCTTCAGCTGTAGGAAAGTATCACCTATGCATCTGCCTTAATGAAAAGTCTTATGTTGATACTCAAAATAGTCAATGAAAACCATGTTGTGAGATTTTTTCATTTTCTTTATAATGCATGTCATTGTATTGTTTTGTTTTTGTTTTCTGTTTTGTGTGCTTCAGGTGGCTGTCATTCAGTGTTCAGGACACTCAAAACCAATCTGTAAGCTTTGGTTATTTTTCCTTAATCTGACTACTTTTTTGGAAACAAATTACCAAGATTTTTTTTTAAGTAATTACATAAAAGCCTGAGGTTCCCTTAAAGCAGTGGTCAAGCTTGTTTGAGTATTTGAACATGATGTCTGTTATCACATCGTTAGGCCCCCCCCCCCCCCCCCCCCAACAACCAGCACTTCTCTCTGCAAGGCTCTGAGCGGGACCTGAGAATCTGCCTCTTTACTGAGTCTCTGTGCTGCTGACTGGGGACATGTTTGAGAACTTCTTTCTCCCTTGAAGAGTTAGAAAATAGGGCTGAATTGTATGTCCTGCTTAAAAAGCCAGGCATTTCTCTTGAGGCAGTCTTCATTCAGCATTGTTTGAATTAAATAAGGCAGCTGTGACAGATTAGAGATCATCTGGCTCCCTAAGTAATGATGTGGAAACTGAGTGTTCATGAGTAGATAACCTCTTACCTTTCCAATAAGGTATTGTTAGCCTGTTCTGAACCCTCTGAATTGATGAGACTTTGTAATGTTTAACTCCAAAGACCCTTTTGAGAGAACTTTTATATTTTCCCATCAGATTCATTGCCCAGGATGGATATATATTATATCTAGCAAGTATATTTGAATAACTTTTAGTATACTCTTAGAATTTCCACAAGTAAAATTCAAGATTCTTTGTAGCTTGAGCTAACCTGCTCTATCTGGGTCCAGCCTTCCACAGTTGGTCAGTGCCTGGGTTCCTTCCTCTCTGAATTGTTTACACATCTGAAATTCTAGTTTCTATCTGGATGGAAGATGGTGAGATTGTCCAAGTGACTGGAGTAGGGAAGCTGCTGGGAAAATCAGAGAGTGAGGGTCAACAAAGTGCTCAAATGTAACTGACCTTTCAAGCCAGAAAGGATGTGTGGAGTCTCTCTCTCCAAAGTCCTGATGTTTGTCAACTGTCCCTTGAAGCTTCCCTTCTTTTGGAGGCTAGCTGGTCAATATTTCTAATGCAGTTCATCATTTCCTCAAATTGATAGCAGTCACACCTCTCACTGTGGGTTCACAGGTAGAATAATGAGAAAGGAAGTTCCATTCTTTACCAGGCTACTGTTGGTAGTCACCCTTTTTTGCATAATCTTTACAGGTTTGGGAAAGACCAGACTGTCTTTCACTTTTAAAAACAGATGCCTGGGTATGGGGGCAGAGGAGGGGAGGCTGGAGATGGCTCAGTGAGCGCCTGCTGCTTACTGTTCTTCGTGAGGAGCAGGGTTGGATTTCTGGCACCTATGTTAGGTGGTTCTGGTGCTGATAACTCCAGCACCAAGGAATCCAGCATCTTCTTCTGGTCTCCCTATGTACCCATACATATAGGGCATATAAATAAACACACACACACACACACACACACACACACACACACACACACAAATAAAAATAGACCCACATAAAAAAAAGGTTCTATGTTAATTTTTTAACTTTATTTTCAACAGGCTATGGCACCAGTGATTTCTTTATTATCGCAAAAACACCTATAAATTCTGAGGGCCTAGCTCAAAAATGAAAACTGGAAGGTCCCTTCTTTAAAATTATTGATAATGTCAAGACCTCCAACAATAAAGCTTTAAACCACATGAGGCATTTCTAAGTCTGGATCCCTGTGTGAATATGTAGCTCATACACCCAGGGAACTGCCCTGGTTATCTGTGATATAAAGAAATCATTCCTTTTCTTTGGCTTCAGACTATCTCCCTGAAGATAATATTTACTCCAAGTTATTAAAGATAAATAATGATTTTTAGATTTCATTCTATACTCACCTTAATTTGTAGTAGCCTCTTGTTCTCTGTCAATTCAGTTAATAGTAGTCATTTGCCAAGTGCAGGACGAAAGAGCGGATTCTAGACCCTGCCCTCTGCTCTCAGTTCTACCAGAATTACCCTGATTTTTTACCTCTTTCCATATTTCTCCTCTGAGATCCCAAAATCAACTGCTTTACTAACATAAGACTTTTTTTTTTTTTTTTTTGGTTTTTCGAGACAGGGTTTCTCTGTGTAGCTTTGCGCCTTTCCTGGATCTCGCGCTGTAGACCAGGCTGGCCTCGAACTCACAGAGATCCGCCTGGCTCTGCCTCCCGAGTGCTGGGATTAAAGGCGTGCGCCACCACCGCCCGGCAACATAAGACATTTTTAATCTCAGATTATATACTAATTTTTTTGGAAATTTATATGTTAAAAATAATGTGGGCATGTGACAATGATAGGACTGGATTTTTACATACATATTGTGTGTACGTGTGAGTGATATGTGCAGTATGTACTAGTTTTTCAGCTAGGGTGGCAGCCAGCCATTGCCAATGATCCTCCTGTCTTCACCACTTCAGTGCTGGAGTTACAAGTGTGCTAAAGGCTACCCCCAGCCTTTAGCTTCGTGTTGGAATCTGAACTCTGGGCCTCATGATCACACTGCAAGCCATCTTAACTACTCAGCCATCTCTCCAGCCCATGGTATTTTGAGGAGCCATTTTTATTAGATAAAGCTAACATACTATATGAAATATCTTTTTTAAATTACCAGGTACTGTGCAGAGTAGACATACCAGTGAGGTGTGATTCATGAATGAGATGGGAGTCAGAAGAAAATACAGGATGAGCGATGAAACAAAGATATAGAATAAAACAAGTGAAACATGCAAATAAAACTGTGTGTTGTAGGAAATACTTAGAAATAGGGAGTAGTAATTCTACTTTTGTGAAGGTATTAAGTTTAATACATTGTTTTCTTTCCCTGAATATGCCTCTCTCCAAATGGTGTGAGAGAATGTTAAATAAAATTAGTTTTCAGAAGCGTCCCTCAAGCACACTTTT